CATTCCTGCAGGTGAGCATAAAATAGCAAATTTCATTTCTGTGCATGTTTCTTTGTAAACTTTAATTCTGCGCATATTTCTTTGTAAACTTTGTCATATCTTGACTTCTCCTCTTCAGCTGGTTGTCTGGATGATCTTTATTATTTAAACTGGTTGTAGTTATGTGCAAATACAAAAACATACAGGGCTATACCCAGAATCAGTAAAAACTTTGTTGAAGAATTTGCTGTGATTTTGTATTTGTCTATTATGCCTCTGTCAGATTGTTAATGAAGACGGCGTGTAGATTTTTGCCAGCAGTGTCTGAAAGCTATCTCTAAGAGACTGAATTTTCCATGGAATGACAAAAATGCATGATTATTGGGAAGACATATCTAAACTTTGAATTGGAATTTAAGAAATGTTGTATTCGCACCTCTGCTGTGTGCTCAACGTTTATCTGATCTTGTACAATTCACTGATTGGCATTGTTTTAGTTTTTCTTCACCACTGCTGTTAGCTGTGTGCTGTGTCCTGCACATCATACTTCATGCAGGATATCCCACAACTGATTCACATACTAAATCAAGTGATAGTAGTGTAGACACTTAAATTCAGCAATGTCTCATTTATTTTCTAAGTGTTCTTCTTTGTTTTTCACTTCTCTCAGAAATCTAATAGCGTTTTCAGAAGAAGGATCTGATCCATATGTGCGAATGTATTTATTGCCTGATAAGAGACGATCAGGAAGAAGAAAAACACATGTATCAAAGAAGACACTAAACCCAGTGTTTGATCAAATGTATGTTCTAACTATGTGTAGTAGTTTTTTATCTTGTGGTTACAAAGATGTCAAATCAAGGTTTCACAGCTCACCTGAATGGACGAGCTGTTGAAACTCCTAGTTGTCATCACCAGACTTGGTCATACCTTTCCCTTCTGCTATAATAGCTCTTCCCATCCTTCTGTTCCCTCTTACCACTCTAGCCCTTCTTATGGCGTTACCAACCCTTTCTCTCTTATTTTCTGCCTTATCCGATGTCAGTTACATCCCCTGCGTGCTGGTAGCTACGAAGCAGTGTGCGCTTTGCTGGCAGGTGGCCAGAAGATGAGTGCCTTTTAGCTGGGCAGTGCTGTTGGTGTCCCTTCCTACCAAGAGGCATGTTGAGTCTGACTGGCCGATGGCCTGGCTGAGAGCTGCTGCCCCCTCGGTAGGACTATCCAGCCAGTGTCTATGCATGATCAATTGCTCAGTCAGTCTACTTGGTGGCACTTCTCAAGGTCCAGGGAGCCAGGAGATTTCCTCGTAGGTTATATCCTGGCCTGCAGGTTGGAAATTGTGCAAGTTATGCAACATTATATTTCACTTATCTTTGCACTCAGCTTTGTGATGGTAGTTTCTCTCACATGTGTACCCCTTTTTCCCCCACCCATCACTTATCAAGAAAGAAGACTTTTCTCTACAGGCAGAAATGTAATTTTGGGAAAATAACACTTCATTCTGTCCAAGGGAAATCTGTAAATCATTAGGTAGAGGCTCTGGTAGGTTTAACTGGTACTGCAGTGCTCTCCTGTTTGTTCCAGGTAACAGGTTTATTTCACGGTGCCTTCCCAAGTAAAATGTGTTGCAAAGCAACTAAGCTGCTTAAGAACTGTAGTGACAAATAGTTGTAGCTTGTGGTATAATCTTGCCCTCACTTTCTATAAGTTTCAGATCTAGTAAACAAAATGCATTCTTCCTTAGAAGTTGATAGGTTTCCTGGGTGTGCCAGGAAAGAAAAGGAGCTCTGGTTCTAGAGGACTGAGGATCAGTAAGACTGATCAGTCTTTCGCTGTTGGAGAGTAGTGATGCTGAGCTGTCAGGGTAGCAGGATTACTTCTTCCCTTCTTTGTGCAGTAGGCGGTTGACCTTTTCCTTGTTTTGTCTGGTTTGGGTTTTGCTTGTTTTGTTTTGGCTTCTAGAGACCAAAGGTAACAGAAGTCTCAAACATTTGATGTTGATATTGATGATACTACTGAAGAAGAAATATTAGGCAAAACATGGGGATTGTTTTCCTCATTTATCTCAGACCTCATTTTTTGCTTAGGGAGTGGGGTGGTTTGGTTATGATTTGGATTGTTGTTTAGCTGTAGGAACTGAACTTGCATTCCAGGTGCAAAATTCTCTCTAAAGCATCACTTTGCGTGTCAGATTTGATTTCAGTGTTTCCCTGCCTGAAGTACAGAGAAGAACGCTAGATGTAGCAGTGAAGAACAGTGGTGGTTTCTTGTCCAAAGATAAAGGGCTGCTTGGCAAAGTAAGTTGACAACAAGCAAATTCAGCTTGTTAATACAGCTTGTTAGTGTTGACTGAAGCACCTGATTTGGGTATAAAGCTTTTAAAAATTATAGATGGCTTAGATGTCAAGCTTCAGCAAGGGAAGGAACAAACTGCAGAGACAGACATCAAAAGATGAGGCAGTGATCTCTTCTAGAGAACGGTAAATTCTGAGGCTCGCAGTAACAGAAGAAACCTGCATGTCAGACTTATTAATCATACAGTCAGAGAAAGAAAATGTCCATAAGAAAACAGGTGATATCTCAGAAGATGTTCTGACAAAACCAGAAAAAAAAGCATGAGTACTTAGAGAAGCACACAGAACAAATGTATGTTTAGTAATTAAAATTCCAGATTGTAAAATCCATGAGAAAGAACTGCTACTGGAGATGTTCCCACGGCCAAAACCAGCTATTGTGTTTACAGCTTCGCTGTTCTGTAGGCACTCATTAAATCACTCTCTTTCCTACACATGTGATTTGGAGCATGTGAAAAGGAATAGTAAATTCCAACATCCTTGCAAATTGCTATGTTCGAGCTCTGTGAAGAGGATGAGAGATGTCAGAATCGTGGTCAGTTCACGGTGAACAGTGTTCTTATTTTCCTGTGTACCATGAAGGCTGTTAGCATAAACATATCAGCTGACGGCCATTGCCAAGGTCTGCCATCTTCAGATTTTAAGCCTGTGAGGTGCTCTGGGACCATATCGCTAAAGGGTATAGATTTTGGGTCAAAAACAGCACCTTGAAACTTTACTACAAGTTGGGCAGATAGCTATGATGGCAAGGATGTAAAATATATTATTTATTAATGGCATTACTTATACTGTAGTTTACAGGGTTGTCAGATTTGATCTTTAAAAGACATAGAATGAAAGGCATGCATAATGCATTCATTGCTAATTTCACTTTCCACAGTTATTAATACCTCTGGCATCTGAAGAACTTGCAAAAGGCTGGACTCAGTGGTAAGTATAATATTTCTTTTATTAGTAATAATACTATGTACTAATAACTGGTGTGTTAATAATAGTTTTAAAAAATGTGAAATGTAAAAAAATGTAAATGTAAAAAACATTGTCTTTTTTCATTTACAGGTATGATTTAACAGAAGATGGTACAAGGCCACATGGTGCAAGTTAGGCCCATGGATACTGGGAATTCCCGACGTATAATTTTGCCAACGTTTATATATTTTTAAAGCGTTGTTCTCACAGATGTACCAATATTATTTTTATAGCTTTACTGATTTAGTTCTTAGACACATCCTCAATAATTTTATAATGCTTGGTCATTTTATGTAGACATAGCCCTTTCTCATTGTTAAACTTTGTATTTTAATTTGCTAAACAATGTTATGTGTTACTGTAATGTGCAATAGTACAGTAAAGTAACCTTCTGTGTTTAAATTGATCTTTATGACAGCTGTAACTATTAGAAAGCAAAAAGATTATGTTTTGCTGTTTTCCTGACTTGTTTTATATCTCAACAAGGTATACTGTACCATGTAAATATATACTATTTTTTATAATTCTTTCATGCTGGTTTGAATTCAGAAGAAAATTAGATAAAGGATATAGATATTTTCTTCTAAATGCATGTTAATTTCTTCAGATGAATCTCTTTTGTCTTTGCAGCACAATGGTCTTAATCATTTTGTGATATTCTTCAAAAACAAAGTGCAGAAAAACATTTTTACTTTATTGTGTTTCTGGCCCAGTGTGGCTAGCTTAAAATGTACAAAACATTAGCATTTTAATATTTATATATAGATGTATTATTGGAAAATCATGCTATAGAATATTATAAACAAAAATGAGAATTCTATAAATATTGTATGAAGAGACGATGAGGTCCATGAATCACAGTTTCTAAAACCGAGTCTTCATTTAATGGAGTAAACATAACAAACAGTACAGTTTCATTATACAAGTTCACCTGGATTTTGTTATTTATTCCTGTACTCTATAGTACTAGACACGTGACATTTTGAAGGTATGAGGACATGGATTTTTCTGTATTATAAAATCTCTAACCACTTAGAACTGTCCTTACTGCCGTGTTTCACTGATTTATAAGGTATACAAATCAGTTTGCAATGTAAGTTCATATCGTAGGCATACGTACAAGACATATGATATTTTTATTACACAATACTGTGCTAAATAGTATATTACACTGTACCTTCTGTAATACTAAAATGGAACACCAATAGGTAAGAAAGTGAGAAACTGAGGTGAAACTGACTGTCTTTATAGTGCTTCATTGCTACCTACTGTGTTTGGTGCCTGAAAAAAATGCACTTCAGTGGTCCAGGCAGGTTTCTTGAGAAATACCGGCATTCTGCGGGAGCATTGCCATAGTCTGCTGCGAGACTACGGCAGTGATGCCATTAGCACAAACTGATAAAAGCAGACAGTTGAGAGCTGAAGCGAGAGTATCGGCCTAAACAGCTGAGCTCATAACGCTAGTACTATGGGGCATTTTTTTGTATTCGGAACTGATTTTTCTTTTCCTGGTAAGTTTTCTCAGACTGTTATAAAAATGTGCATTAAGAATCCAAGAGAACAGTTCAGCTCTTTCAGAGCCATTGCCCTCATTCTTGGATAAGTATGCAATTAGAGAGACAAAGTATATTATTTAGCTAAGATTCTAGAATGATCTTTCAGCCAAGAAAGAACTTTAAAGCAGAATAATAAACTCCTGAAATTAGCTTTATTGTAAGATTACTGACAGAACCTTAATTCTAGATGTAGAATATGCCTACATTACTAGATGTACCAAAGTGCCTACCATAGAAGTAGCTTTTTGTCTTTTTCAGGTTTAAGAATTGACTCATTTCAGTTTGTCTAAATTCAATTTAACGTGAACATTTGTCACAGATGTGTGTGACACACACATACACCTCTATACAGTGATGGCCTTCTTATTGCCACATTTTATATGAGACAATTTTAGCAAACAAACTTACATTGTAAATTTTGCTGCTGTTACTTTCTGATGGACTGGGCAATAGAGAGGTTCTTTGTAAGAAAGACATTTCCGTTTGAAGGCTTCACTCTATATTGGAATGTATCAGTATCTATATATACACATGCACTCATCTGTTCATATAAAATGTAATGTATTATGAAATATGTATTTTCTTTGCTAGTTCTCCATTAACGTGTTAAGAATGGAAAGACAGAGAATTATTATGAATGCAGTGAAAATGCAGAAAGCGAAAGCTGATCTTGAGAAAGAAG